TGAGTTCACCTGACAGAAGCCCCCGGTGGAGCAACACACTCCTGTCTACGGGGCACTTGGAGCACATCGATTTTCAGGTGCAGGAACTTAACGGAATCGAATGCAACTCACCCAGCGATTTATAGTAAGTGAACAAGCCAGGATGGAAGGCTGGCCTGCCTGACCTGGGCACGTCACCTGAGCCCTCTGGGCTCTAACCTCTTTATTTATATAAAAGGGAAATGATCATTTTTACCTACCTTTAAAAAGTTACGCTGAAGATTAAGCGAGATAATAAAAGGCTGAAATCAGGGCTTAGCACGTGGTAAGCTCTTAAGAGTTTTATCAACATGACAGACCCCACACATGGCTGCAGTCAGCCTCTCCAGTGACAGAGCACTCGTCACCTGACCAAGCCCCTAACACTTTGGGCAGCTCTATGTATAGAACAGCCACCCCATTACTGAACCAAAACGGGTCTCCCCCTCCCCTGGGTCCTCGCTCTGTCCTGGAGGCAGCCCTTAGCCCTCCTCCCCTGGCAGTTCTGCAGAGACCCCAGAGAGAGCTAGCATCCTGAGTCAGTCACCAGCCTCCACACATGTCCCCGGGACAGCGAGTGCAGAGGCAAGGCACTTTGTCACCAAGCTAGGACTTCCGAACACTCCTTTGTCCTCCACCCCTGCTCTGGCAGGGCCCCTGGGGTTAATGGGACCCTTGAGCAGTGAAGAGGCCTGTCTGTCTGCGAGGGCCAGCATCTGCTAGAGCAGATGATGGAAGACACGGGCCTCCTGACCTCCTGACCCCCTGACCTCCCAGCTCCCGCTTCACTCAGCCCCAGGGAAAGCCGAATGTGTAGCCAGTAACCAGTGGGTGCAGGACGGAGTGCGCATCCCCGGCAGCGCCCCAAAGCAGAAAAGGCCCCAAAAGCCTGGGGAAGGAGGGACAGATCAGCAGCAGGGTGGCTCAACCCTCAGATCACACATGCCACCTGTGGATGAACACATTTGTCCTCCCAAGACCCTTGGAGCAATGAGCCAACCAGACCAAAGAGAGGTTAAGTAGTAACTTGCCCAAGATCACACAGCAGATAAGCAATACAAGTGGAGTCTGAACCCAGGCCATCTGGCTCCAGAGCCCGTGCCCTTGACCTCTGGAAAACACTGTGTCCAATACCATGCCCAGGGAAGAAAGGGACAGAGGAAGGAAGGTTAGAACTAGGGTGGGAGAATTCAGAGTAGCCCAGAGAGAGACGGCATCGTCCTGCAGAACAGCGTGGGCCAAGGTGGGCCTGGCACGGCACAGGGGGCGGGGAGGGTGTCGGCTGGCCGAAGCCGAGGCTGTGGCTGGAGGAGAGGGTAGACTGTGCTCCCCGTCTCGAGCTGAAAATTACCACCACCCAAACGAGGTGGGAGGCAAAGTTCCACACACGCCTGGGTCAGAGACACAGAAATGGAGAACAAAATAAAGTCCCCACCCCAAGGAGCTCGGGATGGCACGAAAGCCATGGCAGCAGCCATTGCAGGAGGACAGGCTTGCGAGGGTCCCTTCCCCAGCTGGGTCCTCGTGATTCTGAAAGGCAGCACCTCCCAGCAAGCGAGGTTGGTCGCCGCTCAGCGGCACCCACAAGGCAAGTCAGACTCCAGGGGGAAGCTTCTAGAGCCCCGTTAGTGCCAGAACAGCCCCGTGACGCCTCCCCTCCTTCTCAGTGAATTATCCCAGGACAGAGATGGAAGAGATGCCAGCGTCTCCCATCCTCTTCCCTAACCTTGGGACAAATTAAATCAGATTCCACTGCGCGGCCGGGAGGCATAAACTTTGTTAGCTGCACCAATATATCCTGCCAGGCAGGCAGGCTCCCAGGTACTAATTACTTTATTCAGCAAGTTAAACAAATGATATGATATCTAAATTCAAGGGAGAGGCACCCAAGAGTTACAGAGCTCGCACGGAGCGGAACAGAACGGCTAGACTCGCAGCTCCTCGCTGGGGGCTCTGTTCCCTGCTCCTGCAGGAAGCCTTCCCTCAGGACTCCACCTCCGGGGACCTTTCCCACGTAAAAGCAAGGGCTTCAGAGCGTGGCTTTGTCCTGGCCAGACTGGTCCTGTCACAGAGCAGCTGTGTGACTTGGGCAGGTTGCTTAATATGGAAGGGACTCCAGGCGCCTGTTTCCTCTGTTGTAAGGTGCAGATAAAACAGCACCTCCCTCCGGAGATGTTTGCAAGGGGACAACAGTCTCAAGACTGACTTTGTAAGGATACCAGCCCCAAATGAAACCTCCGTAAATGGGAACTGTTTCCATTGCTATGGTTATTATTACTGTTTATGCTGTAGTAACCATCGCACTACAGCTGGGGTCTCCAGGGTTTCCAGTAAGTAGCAACCCTCCACTTGGCTCAGCCCCGAAGAGTTTTTGTTTTGTTTTTTTTTTTAAGTAAAACAAATATGGGAGGCTGAGGCAGGAAGATCACGAGTTCAAAGCCAGCCTCAGCAACTTAGCAAGGCACTAAGCAACTCAGTGAGACCCTGTCTCTAAATAGAGTGCAAAAAAGGGCTGGGGATGTGGCTCAGTAGTTGAGTGCCCCTGAGTTCAATCCTCAGAACCAAAATTAAACAAATAAATTTTTTTGAAAAATACAACATGTAGCTGGAGATCTGCTACTGACAGAGGCTGAGTTGGCGGCTGTAGCTAAGCTTGGGAGACGATGGCTAGAGAGTGAATCCCGGGTGTTAGGAGCTGGCTACACCAAATAGGGCTGACTTCTGCATGGGAGGGGACCCAGTTGAGACACTCAGGGTGGCAGGCCCTCAGGGTCTCCCCAGTCACTGCAACCCCAGGAGAGGAGGTGCAGTCCCGGTCAGCCCCACAGTCTTTCCTGAACTCACCAGTCAGACAGGAAGCCGGCCCCTCTCCCCAGGGTAGTGAAAGCAAACATGGTGGACAGGGACCTGAGTATCACATGCACCTCCCCCTGGAAAAGGATCCAGAGTCAGGGTGAGAGTGAGGAGCCGGGGAGGCAGGTGGCCTGGGTGTTGAATGGGATGGATTTGAATCTCCTCTCCCCCGGGGCTGTGTGATTTAGGGAGAGGAACTTAATCTCTTTGATGAAGCTTCCAGCAAGGTCTGCTTCGGGGCACCCAGACCATTCAGAAGTCACCTCTCCTGCCCTGAGCTTCGTCTCCTTTTCTCCATTCCTCAAATCCAGGCATTTTTACAGCTTCTGAGCCCACGTCACCAGGGAGCTCCAGCATCCTGTTCTTCCTCCCTGACGCCCACTTCTAGAGCTTCAGAGCCAGGACAGGGCCACACTGATCCAAGGATGCCCACAAGCAGCGCAGCCACCCCGAGATGGAGCTCCTCCGGCTCCTGGTCAAAAGCCGCCCATTAGACTCCACGCTGGGAGTTAAAGGCCCAGCCCTCTGGACCCTCCAGCTGCCGGGCACCTCCCTCAGCACCGGAGTCAGGGACAGCAAGTGTCTCCAGTCCCCGGGGAAACAGGAGGGGAGGGAGCATTTTGTACTAAGTGCGATGGAGTTCACAAGGAACTTCCACATCTGTCAACGCCTTTCACTTTTGTGGGGACAGTCGGGAGGTAAGAGGGAGACCTGGGGCTCAGGATAATAGACCTTTCCACTGGATGCCCTCCAGGGAGGACATGGCAGGTAGCTCCACTGGAGGGCGGTGGTCACATGGCTAGAGCTGACCCGGTCAGCCTCCCAGGGCTGAGCGCAAGGAGTGGTGCCCACGGCCAGGGAAGTTGGAAACTGGGACAGCCACCTGAGGGCCTTATGCCGAAGAAGCAGAGGACCCTGGGAGGGAGGGGGTGACACAATCAGAGGAACGCAAAGATGAAAGGCCTCCGCTTCCAGAGACAGCAGACAGGGCGACCATTTGGCTCTGGGTGGCTTCCGGATCCTTTGGATCCCTTTGCGAGGGCTGATTGCCCTCCTGAGATGCATCTGTATCCCTGGGGTGGATGGGGGTGGGGAGTTTCTCTTTTTGTTTAAGCTGGGTTCGTCCCTGGTACTTGCAAACAAAAGAATCTTAATTAAAATGTTCAGAGTGGTTAAGAATCTTGTCCCAACTGGGGAGCCTAGAGCACAGAGTCTCCCCTAACTCCAGATGCCACCCTCTTGGCTGGCTGTGGGGATGGTGGGGGTCTGGAAGAAGCTAGGGATCCTTCCCAGGAGGGAGAAGCCAAGTCCTCAGTGCAAAGCCTGCGTGTGTTGAGATGTGCAGACCCAGAGCCAACTCTGTGTCCCAGACCCCTGAGTCTGAAATCCCAAGGCAGGTGTCAGTCCCTTTTCATGAGCCCCTCCTACAGCAATCCGGAGAGAAGCAGCCCAGCAAGGGAATGGAGATTCTCAGCTCTCCTAGGAACTGTCTTCTAACTGGTTTTATTGGGTTGGGACTTTTCATGGGATGCCTGCCATGAGCCACCTCTCATGGAGGCCCCACCCGGGATCTGAAGACCTCTCCCTCAGCTACCATGAAAGAGAAAACTGCTTTTTCTTTCACTGAATTCAGCACCCAGCACACTGGAGGTCCCAGTGCCACTGAATGAGAAGGTGATAGGGCTGTTGAGTCATAGGCAGCTGGGAACCAGAGACCAGGGGCGCTCACCTGCTCCCCAGGTCGCCCACCATGGGGCAGGTGTAAGAAGTCTTCAAGGTGTTAGTGGAATAAAATCAGAGACTGTGGGAGAATTCTGCCCCTGGTGGAAGGATCCAGGACTCCTGAGCAAACCTAGACAGATGCTTCTCAATAAATGTTTGATGAATGCATTAATCCTGTCAATCACTCAGGCCCTCACCGCCCCACCAAGCTCCATGGGCCCTATCAACCTGCACCGCCCCCCAAACAGCCCTCGGATCCAGTCTTGCTTCTGTGGGCACCACCCCTGCCATTGATCAGATCCTTAATCCTTCACCAGCCAAATATAATTCTCTGGGCTTCCCGTCAACCGCCCCCCGCCCCCCCGCCCCCCCGTCCCGGTCTGGCTCCTACACCAGTGACCGCCCAGGAGTGTTCCAGAAGCAACCTTGTCACTCCACAGATTCCAACCCTGCAGGAGTTCCATGGACTGTCCCCAAGCCCTGCTCCCTGCCCGCCGTTACAGCTTCGAGTCCTTCCTTACTTGCTCTCCACCTGGAGAGGAAGTGGACTTGGACCCCCTCCACCCTTTGCCAGCCCCTCGAAGCCTGTCCCCCTCACCCTGTCCCCCTCACCCTGGCCTGCACCTCCTGCCCCTGCCCCCCACCCCGTGTCCTCCCACTTGTCTCACTTGCTGTCCCCTCCAGCTCTGCTCACCTCTGTCTCCACCATCAGCCACCCGAGCACCTGGAGGGCAAGGACACCTCTCAGTCCTCTGTGCTACCAGGAAGCCACACTGGTCGCCAGTCAACAGGGGATCAGCCTGCAGCTGCTTCCGCCTCCTGAAGCCGTGGAAAACTCCCACCGGAGAAGATGTGTTCTTAGTTAGGAGAGCAAGCTGGGGTCCCTTTTTGGAATGAAACATGACTCTTCCTGGGTGTCCGAGAAGAGAGAGAGACAGGACCGCACACGAGGTGGGGAAAACATCTCTGCAAACTCTGGACAGATCTTGGGGAAGCGGTGGTGTGTAGAAGGCAAGTAGGGGACGGTGGGCCCGTGAGGGGGCTGAGGGCACAGGAGGGAAGGGCAGCGGGTAGCTCTGGGCAGTGCAGGCTGAGGAACCTGGAGGAGCAGGGGGGGCGGGGCAGGGTGAGAGTGCTTCCCTTCCTGTGCTGTCACTCACACGCACATACCCTGCCCCGCCCTCACCCATTGTGCCAAACCTTCGAGAACAGTCTCTGAAAGCCGCTCAGTGATGGAGCTGGGGAAGACGGAGGGAAGAGACCATATGCAGAGGGACACGGGAGCAAAGCCAAGGGGGTGGCTGAGGAGTCCAAGGGAGGCCAAAGTCGGAATTGAAAGGTAAGTCTGAGAACCAGCCCGGGCCAGAGATTTGCAGAAACCCAGGGGGAAGGCTGTGAAGGAAGAATTGGGTTCCAGTTGTTTTCTTTAAATATTAAAGTGAGGCTTAGGGCTCAAGGCTGGCTCCAATGAATTGAATTGAAATCCTGATCCGTTTGGGGACCTCGGGGACTGGCCTGCATATGTGTGGAGGGGAGGTGGCTCTCTCCACCCAAGGGAGAGGAACAAAATGTCAAAAATGCTTAGCAGAGAGTATTTCCCGTGGTCGAGATGGAGGCTGCAAGGCCGAAGGCTTCTGAGAGCAGGGAACACGGACCAGGCTTCCCTCAGAAAGGCTGCGAGAACCGCAAAAGAGACAGAATCTTGACACGCCTGAGCAGCAGGCCTCAGGGAACACCTGGTCCTCAGATGGCAGGTGGAGTTGAACCCAAGTGCCAACTCCCATCAACGGGTACTGGCTGCCCGCAGCCCTGCCTTAGGAGGAATTCCGAGGCTCTGCCTGGCTTCAGCAGGAAAGAAACGATCAATTAATAATGTCTGTCATGGATCCCAGAGCAGGAAGGAGAGGGTGCGTGCTGCCCGGTCGCTGTCCTTGATCTAGCCCAACTTGCCTTTTTATAGATGGAAAATAAAAAGAAAGAACGTCTCCAAAGTGACCTTGTGGCTGGAGTCAAGTCAAATGTCCAACTGGGGGCTCTTCTCTGCACTGCGATCCCTCCCTACACACCCATCGCAAGGCGAGGAAACGGGAAGGTCAATATTGGCCGCGTAGCTGGTGAAACAAAGCACAGAAGCACAGACCTCGCCGGAGGAAGCGGAGGGGAAGCGCTTTAGGTCTATTTCAGGAGCAGATTTTGGCCAATCTCTTTGTTCACGTTGCGGACATGCAGCTTCCAGGGACATCAGGAAGACTGCAGGTGCCGGGAGCAGTGGCACGCGCCTGTAATCCCAGCAACTCGAGAGGCTGAGGCAGGAGGATCAGAGGTTCAAAGCCAACCTGGGCAACATAGTGAGGCCTGTGTCAAAAGAAAGATGAAAAGGACCACAGTGCAGGTCACCGTACCCTTGTGGCCTGGGCCCATGCCCAGGGAGTGGGAAACTCCTCTGACAGGGGAGTAGAGGCCGGGCTGGCCCTGTGATCCTTGGCTGGTGTCTTTGCAGTCTCTTTCATTCAGCCCACAAATGTTTTTTTTGGTTGTTTTTTTTTTTTTTTTTTTTTTTTTTTTTGAGCACCTGTGAGCAAACGAGTGAGCCAGGAGCCGGGGCTGCAGATCTCCAGGCACCTACATCAAAGAGAGGGCCGAGCCGGGCCCAGAAGAGCTAATTATGCAATTAGTTATTTAATGATAAACGGAGCTAAATGCCACGAAGGGGTACAAGGAGCTGTGGAGTCAAACACCCAGGGAGCTGATGTCATCCGGAGAAGGAGGGGAAGTTTCCGGGGGAAGTGACATTTAAGCTGAAACTGGCAGGATTAAACGGGAGGTGGTGATGGACGGGGGCCGAGGGAGGCAGCGAGAGGAAGATGGAGGGAAGACAGAGGGCAGAGAGAGAACCTGCTCGAGGGCCCAGGGAGCAAAGAAACACGACGTACCTGAAGAAATGAAAGAAGGCCAGAAGGTCGTGAACACAAAGTGTGCATATTTTTTCAGGTCTTTAGAAGGCATCCTCTCTGGACTAACAGCTCACATAAACCTCTTGGCCTTCAGGTTGGCTTTTGGCCCCCGCTCAGCCCCTCCGCCAGGTACATTTGTGCAGTGTAGAACCTGCACAGCTGTACACGGCCATCCTGTTTCCCCCACTATCCCAGCCCTCAGCAAATAGGCTAGAGCAATGCCCATAGGAATCAATCAGACTTCCTGTTAAAATGCAGTTTCTGATTCAGTAGCCTGGGGTGGGGCCTGGGATTTTGCATTTCTAACACACTCCCTGTTGCTGCAGTGGCTGGTGTCTGGACCACACTATGAATTAGCAGGTGAGTTGTGGGCAAGAACAAACAGAGCAAACTGAGAGGGGGGAAAAAAAAATCCATGGGAGATGATTTTGTTTGATTCAATGCAATCGTTTTGGGTCATTCCCCCACAGTGTGCATTGGCTTATCATACGAGAGACAGATAAACACAGTCCCTGTCCACAAGGAGAAGGTACTCAGGACCTGGAGACAGGTGAGCCCACACCTAGTCCCCGAGGTCAGCCATCAGTCCCACAAAGAGAGGACAGCTGTGAGCCAGGTCGCCCAGAAGGAGTAGCACAGGGCAGACTCCCTGGGAGAGGTGACAGTCGCAGGAGGAGGAAGATTTCCACACTTGGGAAGTGGGAACAGGTGAGCCAAAGAGCCAGGGTGTACCTCAACCAATCAACAGAGAGATCAGACTTTTAAAAATCAACAAATAAACGACAAGACCTTCAGTGCGATCAGGCACACAGATCGAAATGGAGGATGGCGGAGAGCAGGGATTAACAGGAGGCAGAACCAGAAAACTCATCCAGCCTTGGATTATCCTGGCTCTTCGATGCCAGGCCAAGAGAGGACAAATAGGAAACTGTAGGTTTTACCAAAAAAAAAGAAAAAAGAAAAAAACGAAACCTCGTCAGGGCAGAGCCTGGGCCAAGTGCCCGAGCTCCGGCTCTGCGGGTCCCAATAGGGCGCCCGGGGCTGGTGAGCCCGACACCGTCCGTGGAGGCAGGAGGCCCCGGCAGGATCAACGCACAACAGCTTTCTGGTGTCTGGGTTTATGTTGTCAACACAGGAAGGTGGGGACAACAATGTGGAGGGCAGACATCAAACTCCACCTGCAGGGACAGCCGGCTGGCGGGGAGGCCACTGGAGGACGAGGTTTCAGAGATGCAAAGGTGACCTCCGAAAAGGACTCAATGAGGTGTGGAGCTCCACGGCAATTAGAAAGAAAGCCGTGCCATCATATTTACCCTCTCCAAGACGAAGGCCAGACACAGATGGTTCTATAGGGAGGAGACCCTGAAAGTGCTTTAAGAGGCTGCGGGAAGTGAAACTGCTAATGCACAGGACCCCAGGATCCTGCACCCCCCGGGGTGCACGTTAGGACAGCCGGCAGCCCCAGACTCCAGTGTCTACCCTGCCCCACCCGGAGGGACCCAGTGGGATCAAGCCTATCCCCAGGGGCACCCAGCGATAACCCCGACTGGCTGTCCTCTCCCCAAACTGGGACCTCGTTACCAGCTATTCCTGAGACGGACAAACACAGGCATCTGGACCAACCCTGTCCAGTGCCCAGATGCTGAATGGGGGTCCAGGGCTTTTCTTAATGTCACCGTTAGACTGGGCTCAGAGCCGGAGCTGTGGAAAGGTGGCCCGTCCTGAGTTTCCCTGCTTCCTGCCTCCTTGGGTGCTTGGGGACACTCAGTCCCTCCTCGAGTACCTGCCGTGCTCCCTCGGGGCCGATGCTGAAGCGAGGACACAGGGGTGAGGCAGGTGTGGTCCTCAAGAAGAACTTGGCAATACTGTGGGCCTCCCAGTCCCTGGCTCCTAACCTCAGGCATCTCCTCCTCTGCCTTCTGGTGGCTTCCCTCTGCCAGACGCACGGTCTCTCTCCTGCTATCAGGGCTGCAGAGCTCCTGGGAGGTGATGGTGCTGGCCCCGTGCCCCCCACCACTGCCCCACCCCCCCCACCATCGAGCTGCAACAGGAGCTGGGGGAGGACGAGGAGGTGGAGGGGAGCCTGCTGCACAGAGCCCTGAGCCCCAGAGCGCTCGAATGCTTTCTCCAATCACCCCACCATCGGCTGCCCAGACGGCTGGGGTGCTGGTGGGCTTCCTGAGCAGCCCCAGCCACGGCCAGCCCTGCTCAGACCTCCTCCCCTAAGTCCAAGTACAGCGTCAGGCTTCTGGGTACTTGAGAGACCTCGCTTTGTCTTCCTGCAGATCCCAAGGCAGACAAGGTCCCCTGCTGCTGTCCTCGATCACAGCCATTTCCGGCGGTTGAGACCACATCCCTGACAGTCTCTGTTCCAGCAGGATAGACAGCAGTTACAGCTCCAGCACCTGTGGTCACTGAGTGGGCACCTGTCAGGGCTTCCAAAATGTTGGCCATGGAAAAGGGACGGCTGCGGGAAGCCCAGGGCATGGGTGGTACGGGGTGAGCCATTGTTTGTGAGGAAGAGAGGCAGGCTCAGATTTCACTGGAGAAGAGTGTGTGCCCGCACGTATGTGTACAGGTGTGCACGCATGTGTATTACACACAAAAACATAACATCTGTCTCCCGGCCTTGCCTGCCGTGAGCGCCTACAAGCACAGAAATCCCCATAGTGACTGGCACCCTGAGCACCCACACCCTGGTTTCAATACCATCCTCCAGTAGAAAGAACCAGAAATGGTGGATCCCAGGACTTCAGCTGCCCTTGCCCAGCTGCTCTCTCTTCCAGTCCTTCTCGTTCCTTTCTGACACCTCATCAGACAGCAGCACCCATGCACCGTCAGCCCCCAGTCCTCTGCTGCGGTGCGGAGACACGAGGAAGTATGGCCGGCTACAGCAACCCCTTCGGAAACCCGACGGCCAAGTGTGCAGACTCCAGCTCCGTCTGACTCTGGTCACTTACTCTTTCTGAGGCCCAGATTCTTCCTCTGTAAAATGGGGCAAGTGGTCCATGCAGACGCCCTGGGCTCAGCAGACCTTAAATGGCAGTGTTCACTCATGGCAAAGTGTCGCCCACCCCGTCAGGAGCAGGACTGCCTCATCCATCTCTTCCAGTCCCGACACCCAGCACCATGCCTGGCCCCTAAGGGTGACCGGTCTGTGTTTGCTGACTGTCTAACTGAATTGCCAGTGGACATCTACCACCAGCCCTTCTTAGCCAGTGTGTGCTGACGGCACCTCCCTCTGACATTGGCTTAGAGCCACAGGGATGGACTGAGCTCTCAATACCCCCGACTGATACCCATTGGGGACTGTCCTTCCTAGGACCTGTCCCAGCTTCCTAAGTAAAAGCCCTCAGGAGGAGACTCCCCCGTTCCCATCTTCTCTGGCTGGCCGCCTGCTCCTGCTCTCGGGACACCCCCTTTCTCTGTGCTTTCATCTCCTCTCTGCCCCTCGTCAGCACCGCCACGTCCAGGCTTCCCCTGTGCAGCGGTGTCTGCCCACCTTGACTCCCTCCCCTCTGCAGCTGCTTCTCCCCGACACCGTGCTTCCCTCCCTTGGAAAACCCCCCACCCCCTTGCCAACAGGCACAGGCCCTCAGTCACATCGACGCACGTCATTGTCACCTCTCTGTTGTTCTGGTGACAGACCATCTCTGCCTGCTTACTCTTTGGGAATTGGGGACAGATGATCTCCCTTAGGTCCTCCATCAAGGGTGGCTGCTCTTCCCTCCCGTCCTTTCCCCTAAACTAGAAGCTCTGGTGGGAGGCGAGGCCTGGAGATGGAGTGAGGATGCTCCAGACCCGGGCAGGAGAGGACCTCAAGGCCCAGGAGAGGATGGCCAGAAGCAGCCTGAGACCCCCCTTCCAAGGGATCTGGAGCCTGCAGGGAGGGGACAGCCAGGCCAGCACATGCCATTCACGCAGGGAGACGCGCTGTGTGGGAGAAACACAGGCTCAGCTTCCAAAGGCCTGGAGAACATTCCTACACCACGTATCAGGGACGCCTGTCACCAGGAGGGCCACTTACCTGAGAGCATGGTGGGCCCATAGGGGGAGGGCACACCCAGTGACTGTTGGCGTTGGGGGATGCAGACAAGCCTGTGAGGAAGGAGCATGTGCATGGTGTTCAGTCCTTTGTTCCCATGAGGCCAGCTCTTTGCTGCCCTCCTGGACTGTTCCATGTGACCTGAGTCCCCCCACCATACCCTGCTGGAGGAGTTGTAGTCCCCCACTCCATTGACATCAGGCTCGGTCCGAGGACCTTAGGCTTCAGTGAATGGAGTGTGCACACAAGTGACATGGGCCACATCTGAACAAGACCTTCCAGGAATAGCACATGTTCTGTCTTTGCTTTTTCCTGTGCCTTACAACCACATGGCCTAGTCAGAGAGGCAGGTCCCTCTATTTGGCTGTCAAAATAAAAAAGACATACAGAGCAGGGACTCGGCTTCGCCCTCCATATAATAAGTAAAGTGAGAGGAACGTAAACACATATTGCTTATATACCACTGGGATTTGTGAGTATTGGGGGATTGTTTGTTACTGCAGCACAACCTACTGAGAGCTGACTACAACATCTCATATCATCCCATGGTCCTGAGTACTATTTGTATGCTGGTGTCTCCAATATGTCTGTCCCCAGGCAAATCTCTTCTCTGAGCTTCAGATTCATATATCCAACTGCCAGTTCCAGTCTTCACTAGGGCATCTTGTATGGAAATCCAAGATAACATTCAGCAGGTAACACTTGATTTTACTACTGACCACCCTTGCAAATCTGCTCCTCAAATCTCCTCCACATGATTTATCCAATTTACCTCCAGAGCCCCTAGCCTAAGCCCATTATCTCTTATCTATCCTGCTGCAATCACCTCTTCACAGGCCTCCCCACCTCTACAGCTGCCAGAGGGGTCTTTCTTCACTGTGAACCTGCTTACATCATCCTCTTGCTTGAAGTCTTCCTGTGGCAACTGCAATTAAAACAAATTCTCACCAAGGCCAACCCTTGATCTGGTACTTAAGAGATCTTTGGCAAGGATGAGGATGAGGATGAGGATGATTGCGGATGGTTAATTTTGTATGTCAAATTGACTGGGCTGCAGGGTGCCCAGATATTTGGTTAAATGTTATTCTGGGTGTGTCTGTGAAGTGTTTCTGGGTGAGATTAGCATTTGAATCAGTAGACTGAGTAAAGCAGATAACCTCATCCAATCCATTAAAGAATCAGGTTAGAACAAAAGCAAAGGAGAATCCATTCTCTCTGCCTGTCTTCCAGCTGGGACACCAGTATCTTCTCCTGACTTCAGACTCAGACTGCAATGACACCATCAGCTCTGCAGCTTATTGACGACGGGTCTTGGGATTTCTCGGTCTTCATAATCTGAGCCAATTCCTTGTTTTATATACTTAATTGGTTCTGTCTCTCTGAAGAATCAATGAAGAAGAGAAAGAAGGAGGAGGAGAAAGAAGAGAGTGAGTGTTGGGGCCTGTTGGAGATGCTCCCTCTGAGCAGATGCTGAGCACAGACCTGACAGTAGATACCTACACGAGGGCTGGTCCAAGACTGAGCTACCCCCTGCACCATGCTTCTCAGATTCAGGCCCATCTTCACAAGTCAGATGAGGAGCTCAGAGAGCCCACCCCCTCTTCCTCGCTGCATTTCCCAGGGCATAGCTGAGCTCTGGGATAGCATATGAGTCCCTTGACAAAGGTTTTAAACCTCAAGAGATTTCTGCTCCATTGAGTCACCAGCACAATGTCCAGAGATCCTGAGAACTGACACCAGGCCTCCAGTCTCCAAGCCCAGCTTTAGATGGAGCCACCAGCTTCACGTTCAGGTGGAGAGAAGGTGCTCTGATTTTAACAGGTCCCCTTCAAATTTCAGAAGCCAAAACTTATTGTCCAATGTGACAGTATTAAGAGGCAGGGCTTCAAGAGGGGACTAAATTGTGAGTGTTGACTCTGGTGAATGAGATCAGGTGCCCCATGACAGGGCTTAAGTTTGTTCCTCTTGCCTTCTGCCTGCCAGATGAGGGCACAGTGCTCCTTCTCTCCAGGGGGCACGACGCTCAGGCACCATCTTGAATCAGACCACAGCCCACCAGACAGCCAGACCTGCCACGTCTCCACCTTGAGTTTTCCAGCCTTCGGAACTGTGACAAAATAAATTTATAGTCTGTTATTTTTCATAGCAGCAGAAAATGACTGAGATATGATAACAAAGCCACTTGGGCCGCATGCAGAGAGCACCGTCCCCTGTATTAAGTAAGCCCTGTACAGGGCATTGCTGGGGACGCATAGGGAACCAATGGCTTCCTTCACTCATTTTGATAGTGGAGCCCAGGACTAGCCACAGGTGCTCTTGCTGTGATGTCCTGGGGAGCTACCAGTGGGACGAGGGGACCTCACAATTCTCTGTGGAGGCATGAATCTAGGTCACTTCCCTCTGGCTCGGACAGCCCTCAAGCCACACTCTGTTCCAACCCTGTCTAATGGTGTCAGCCTGCCAATCTGAGATGACTCAGGGTGTTAGGACATGTCAAGCTGAAACACACACCCCTTGTCCCATCCCGAGGGGCTGGCTCTGTTAGAGAAACAGGCCTCACCCACACCTTCTCTTCTGTGTTCCATGAGGTTCCGAAGACAACCACTGATCCGGCTAGTGTTCAAGCCTGTTCTCCCCCATAGAGAAGCCTGACTCTTCCTCATTAGTGAGGACAGACACCTCGGACTCATCCCCACAGCCCACCCGACAGACACAAAGGCAGGAATGAGAGAACACAAGTAACCCATCAGTGTGAGAGCCCATTCCTTGCTGTCGATTATTAAATGGCTATTTAATTTCTACATCAGCCTGCACATTTCATTAGTAGGAGTGCGCCCTAACCAATTTTCAATCTCTGCCTAAAATGACAGGCTTCTTCCAGGGTTTGCTACTACATTCCATCCCACATGGCAAAAGATGTCAAACGGTGGTTTTTAGGGGCCTAAGGTTCTGTGGTGGTCTCCCAAGGGATGCTGGAAATGGATGGTATTGGAACCAGAATCTCAGCTGTGGGGCCCTGAGGCCCTGGGGATGTTTGTAATTTCATCCAGATTAGCTTTCCTCATATCACTATTATATACTGGTGTCCTGTGTGTCATTTAAGTAGATTCTCCAGCCAAACAAAGATGTGAAAGCCACTTCTCTCCCACTTCTACATACACAAGTCCTGTGCCATCACTTAAAACACCATGTGACATTATAGATGTCTGTTGTCATCTTGCTGTCACCCCTCCATACATCATGCCACATGACATTGTATCTAGGCAGACATATCTTTTGATTTTATATTCAGGCTGTTTACAGGGTATTTTTCAAATTACAAGACCAATCCATGCTGATTGTGGCCATGGAAAGATTTATGAATTACCAGCTTTCTCAGGTTACCTCCCACTCTCTCTCCTCTGATGAAAGCAACACTAACATCTCCGCCTGTAACCTTCAAATGTGCACCTCTGAGGAATAATTGTAGCTATCCCTAAAATCATGAACACAAAAACCTCCCATGAAAATATATTTCTTGATTTTCATCTACAAGTTAAACGCAGAGGTTGTCTGGGTCTCTAGCAAGGAAAGAGCAACCAGAGTTGGCTGGTGACCCGGCAGTTTAAGTGACCAGCAAATGGCAGACCCTGCCTCTAAGAGGCACGCTCAGGGTGCGCTGCGGTGGAGCAAGCACGAGGCTCCGAGCGGTCGGAGCCTTGCAATTAAGAAGTGCAACAGGCCAACCTGGGAATAAATCCCACCTGGCTGTCTTCTGTGTGTGCTTGGGCAACACACCCTCTAAACCCCAGCTTGCTCTTCTGCAAAAAAAAAAAAAAAAACAGAAAGAAGAATAATGCTGCTATACATAGTGAAAGGAAAAAGAGCCCACACAGAGGTGCTAGGAGACTCCACCTAGCACCCAGGAGGGCTGGGAAAGCCACAATTGGGGAAGCTACCACCAAGCACCTCAGTTACGTTGTAACAGCAGGGATTTCCCAAAGCCTTACCCTGGGAATCTCCACTGACCTTCCCAGGCTGCGGCAATGAGGCAGGTGATTCTCCTGACACTCAGGTGGAAGGTCCTTCAACATCACATCTACCTACTTACTTTCCTAAGACTGCTTTCCAAGAATAATGGCCTCCCTGCCTTCTCCACTCTCCAACTCTCCCTAGAGCACCTCTCTTGACAGGAACCACATGGAGAAGGGCATTCTGGGAAATGTAGTTCCCCAGCTCCTCTTCCCCAGTGCAAAGGATACCTAGCAACAGGTGCCGGTGATGCCAGGTGGACAGCCAACAGCCCAGTGCTACCTGCCACATTGGGCTTCTTAAATGAAGGGATACAGACAAATTCTTAGCAAAGTGCTTGGCACCCGACTAATGCTCAGGAAGTAGCAGTAGTCATGATTCTTTTTATAATTTTGATCCTGGAACGGGTGGCTTTCCACCCAGCCGAGCACACCCACTCCTTTTAATGTTACAGAAAATGCTAGGCTTTGGGGTTTCTGTCAAAGATACATTCCCCATCACAGTATCACTCAGCAGGTCCTACTCATTTCTCTTTCGGATCCGATTATAATGGCAACATTTGTAAATTGCTGATCCTTTAATTCCCCATAAGCACACATTCTGGCTGGAGGTATTCAAATCGATTACACTGAAACACGTGAGCTAAATTCTCTACTTCTGTATCTCCCAGTTTTATATTCCATGATGATTGTACCCAAAATCACTACAAGAAGGAGGAGGAAGAGGAGGAGGAGGAGGAGGAGAAATAATAATAATAATATGCTACAGGTGTATCTCTACTATCTGTCAATCAAGACACGAGGAAATCCAATAATGGCCCCATTTATGAGCAAGCAGCTCTAGCTTCACAATTGCTATTAATTGCTATCACCAAACATTTCAGAATAATGAGATGTTTTCAATCCAAATTAATTTTAAAAACGCAAATTACACACAAACTTACTTCCCTGAAATTTAAATTCAAACTATTCTGCAGGTAAGAAAAAATATATATATGCTGGTAAAGAAATCAAACTTATTGGACTTCAAAATTCAAAATTCAATTGCAGAAATAAAATAGCTTATGAACCGCAAAGGCTTTGCCCAGTCGGCCCCTGCTCTGGAGCGCAATCCAAACATCACATGGTCACAGGTCAGCGCTTCCTGCAAAGAAATCCATTTGACAAACAAACTTGGAGTAATAGCACCCAGATCTGTAATGCCTTATCCTGATTAATGATGGGCCCCACACTGTCACATCCAGGGTGACGAAGGGTAAAGCTAACATTTTTGGGAGCAGCATTACCTGTAAAATTGCAATAATCTCTAGGGAAAATGACCCAATTTAAACTTATTCTCTCTTTAGCTTGAATTTGTTTAGCTCTTTGAAACTTGTTCTGTGTTGTTACCTGTGTCCTTCAAAGACAGGCTCCTTGATATTCTATATACCTGGCCTCTTCCATCAGATGTCTTCAGAGATTTTAAAAGCAATTTAACCCCTGGTTTACCATAGTATCATTGAAGGGCACATCAGTATCCCAAACAAAATCTTTGGAAGCCGACGCTTTTAATTGGCATGTATTTTTAAAATTAATTAATTAATTAATCAATGTGCACAAAGACCTATTTGTTCTATCAACCCTGGTCTAGATGCTAGGGTGAATGAACCAGAAGTAGTCTCTGATGTCAGGAAGTTCACATTCTAGCCACAAGAGTGAGATAAATGAATATACATATAGAATCACTTCTAGATGTTTAAGTGTTTATCTGAAAGTCTCTTCACTTCATTTGTCTGGGATGAGGTGGGACCAAGTCTATGAAGAACCAGAGGAAGAGTTCTCAACAGAGGTTATAGCAAACACAAAGATCCTGTGGCAGGAAAGAACTTGCCAGTGTCCAGAGGTAGAACTACATTGCCAGACACAAACATACTGACAACATACACACCAATAGGCACCAAAGTCTTTCTAAAATGTTTTGCTAAATACATTTTAGAGTCGATACAAAAGTATTTATAAATATGGCTACTATACCAAAAATAACAGTATCTCACCATCCAGTTTCAAAAATTAAATATAACCATTAAATTTGAAACCCCCAGATGCTCCTCCTCCATCCCATCCTATCTCCCCAGAGAATCCCTAATTCCTAAACTGAATTCTGCTTATTACCTTTACGTCTTTTTGTTTTGTTTTGTTCTTGTTTGGTGAATTTTGGGGAGTGGGGGGTACTAGAGATTGAACCCGGGGGTACTTTACCACTGAGCTACACCACAAGCCCGTTTTGTTGTTGTTATTGTTTTTGTTTAGTTTGTTTTGTTTTGTTTTTGAGACAGGGTCTCCCTAAATTACCCAGGCTGGTCTCAAACTTGTGATCCTCCTGCCTCAGACTCCCAAGTTGCTGGGATTATAGACAACTAGGCTTTCTATCTTTCTGACCTTATATCTGATTACCATACTGTTTCATATGTCTTTGATCTTTCAAATTAGAACCGCCACGTTCCAGTATGCTTCCACGGCCTATATTTGCCAGCAGGTCAAAGCTAGAATCAATTTATTTTTTTAATTATGGGGGAAAGGATTCATGGGTGTTAATTGAATTTTTTATTGATATCATTGTAAATTCACACGCAGTCGTAAGAAAAAATACAGAGAGATTCTGTGGACCTTGCATGCAGCTTCCTCCAGCAGGGACATGTTTAAAAGCTTAGTGCAATATCACGATTAGGATATTGACATGATATAATTCCCAGTCAATTCTGATTGCCCCAGTTTACTTGTACTGGTGTGTGTGTTTAGTTCTATCATCTTATCACATGTGTAGGTTTGTGTATTTATCACCCATCGAGATACTGGCCAAGCCCATTCATCCTGAGGACCCTCCACGTTGCCCTATATAACCATCCATATCTCCCTCCCACCCCACCCCTTCAGTACCCTCCAACAGTCACTAATCTGTTCTCCATTTCCATTTACTTTTGTCACTTCAAAATATGATGGAAATGGAATCATAGAGTATCTAGCCTTTTTTTCACTCATAATAAGTCTCCTGAAGATTCATGCATGTTGTGTGTGTCTATAGCATGTTCCTTTTTATAGCTGAGTGCTATTCCATTGTATGGATATACCACAGTTTGTTTCACCAATCACCTGTTGAAGGTTATCTGGGCCTTTTCCAAAACTGCTATGAACATTTGATTCCTTCAAATAAAGCCTCCCAGGATTTTGTGTAGGCATAAGCTTTATATCCCTGGGATAAATGCCTGAGAGTACAATTTCTGGTCACATGTCATTTTAACAGAACTGACAAATCATTTTCTATACTAACTCTACTATTGTACATTTCACCAGCAATTTATGAGTGATCCAGTTTTTTCACATCCATGGCAACATTTGGTGTTCTCACTACTTTTAATTTTAGCAATTCTAAAAAATGTAGAGAGATACAGAATCATGATTTTAATTTGTATTACTTTGATGTCAAATATTAGTTTGTTGCTTACCTGTCTTCTGAGCAGCCTCTTCAGTGAAATATTTGTTCATGTCTTTTGTCCATGTTCTAATTGAATCATTTGGGTTTTGTTGTTGTTAATGTTTGTTTGTTTACTACTGAGTTTGGGGAGTTTTTTATATAATTTAGATACTAATCCTTTGTCAGATATTGGTTTGAAAATATTTTCTCTGTAATCCATCTCATGGCTTGCTTTTTCATTCAACATTGTTGTTCTCAACTTCACTTAAAATAGACTAATTTTTTTCATTTTTTATTGTTATATAGTACTCCAGGGTACATTCCACTGTTGATAGACGTT